TGTAACCACATCATTTCACTGTTGTTTTAATAATTCATATTTCTCAACATGTTTAAAACACTTGAAAATAATCAAAAGCTCCATGCAAATGTGAAACGATTTGAAAATACTAGTTTCATCTAGGAATCTACATGATTTTTAAGAATAACAATAATAACCCCAACCAGGTGGCTCAGTGGTTGAACATCGACCTATGAACCAGGAGGTCATGGGTTCTATTCCCGGTCGGGGCACACGCCTGGGTTGTGGGCTCGATCCTCAGTGTCGGGCGTGCAGTAGGCAACCGATCAATAATTCTGTCTGATCATTGATGTTTCTATCATTGATGCTTAAAACTAGGCTTATAAGTAAATGCTACATTTTAAAACTGCTTCTCTGTAATGCCCACAGCTTGATATTTAAGTGAGGAAGATGTATAGGTTAGCATACATTCTCGGATGGCTCCAATCGTAAACGACACTTCTGAGGGGTGTCCACTTTTAATTGTTTGCAAGGTGTTCAAAATTTTTTATGCATGTGCACATATCTATACTAATAAAAGGGCAATATGCTAATTAGACCAGAGGTCTTCCGGACAACCTTCGGGACAAAGCCATGGTGGCAGGGCCGAGGCTGAGGCGGTTAGGGCCGATAAAGCCGGCAGGGAGAGCAGTTAGGGGGATCAGGCCCAGCAGGCAGGTGAACGGTTAGGAGCCAGTGGTCCCGGATTGGAGAGGGTGTAGGCCGGGCTGAGGGATCTCCTCCCCCGTGCACGAATTTCATGCACTGGGCCTCTAGTACATATATATGATCCTATTCCTATATAATAAAAGCCTAATATGCTAAGTGTCTGACCGTTCGTTCAACCGTTCAACCACTCGCTATGATATGCACTGACCACCAGGGGGCAAACGCTCTGACTGGTAGGTGAGCTTGCTGCTGGGGTCCAGCCGATTGGGACTGAGTGAGACAGGCCGGACATGCCCTGGAGCCCTCCCTCCCATGGTCCCTCCCCAGCTGGCCAACCTCCCGCGTCCCTCCCCGGCCCCGATTGTGCACCGGTGGCGTCCCTCGGCCTGGCCTGCACCCTCTCGCAATCCGGGACCCCTCGGGGGATGTTGGAGAGCTGGTTTCAGCCCCAGCCCTTTGCATACCTGAGGTCCTTTGCAAACCCCCAGCCCACATTCCCGGTAAAACTCCCATTCGGCATCCGCTTCCCCATGCAATCCTCGTCCTACCCCACATAAGCAGCTGGCTGATGGTGGGGTGCAGAGCAGGTTTTTGTGGCGAGCTTCCCTTGTCCCGTACCTCTCTGTTTGCACACCAAGTGTGTCCCAGAGCTAAGGGCTCCCCACGCGTTAGCTCAGCGCCCACACCCAGAGCAGCCGTGTGTGGCTTGGCCCTCACGCCTCAGGAGTGACACAGCCCCAGCCGTCTGACAAGCGACTAAATAGACAAGCCGCTCCGAAACGAAAGAAGACAGAGAAGCCAACACATGCCAATAAATTCCTGAAAAAAAAAAAAGTCCTGCTAGGGCGATTAAATTCTTATAGACTCGAATCGCAAGAGCCATTTACTCAAACCCAACATCCAAAACCAAATGTTTATTGATCAGATTCTGTGCTCCGAGTGTTACTGTCGGTGCTAACACCACAAAGACAGATGTGGGTGGACCCGATATTCTTGCTCATCCTCAAGAGTTTTTAATCGATCGCATGAGAATATATGGGGTGGGCGGGGGGAAACAAGAACAGAGTCTAAATGAGTGTGGAACTCTCAGCCCGGCTGGCTGGAGTGGCTCAGTAGTCGAGAGCTGACCTATGAACCAGGAGGTCACAGGTTCGATTCCCAGTCAGGGCACATGCCAGGTTGTGGGCTCGATCCCCAGTTGGGGGGCGTGTAGGAGGTAGGCGATCAATGTTTCTCTCTCCTCATTGATGTTTCTATCTCTTTCTCTCCCTCTCCCCTCCTCTCTGAAATCAATAAAAAACATTAATAAAAAATAAAAAGAGGACCTGGAAAAAAATGTTTAAATGTGAACAATAAAACAGCAATCAATACATATCTATCAGCAGCTGAGTCTAAAAATCAAAATAAACGAAGAAGCAGGACAGAAACAGACTCCCAGGGAGAGAACATTTGGGTGGTGGCCAGACGGGAGGGGAATTGGGGCGATGGGGGAAAGAGGTGAAGGGTTGAGAGGTACAAATGGGTCACTACAGAATAGTCACAGGGATGTCAAGTACAGCATAAGGAATCCTATATAATAAAAGCCTAATATGCTAAGTGTCCAGTAGGCCGTTCAACCAATCAAAGTGTAATATGCTAATGATATGCTAAGGCCACTCAACCGCTCGCTATGACATGCACTGACCACCAGGGGGCAGACAGTCGACCTGTCGGCCAGTCGCTATGACGTGCACTGACCACCAGGGGGCAGATGCTTTGACTGGTAGGTTAGCTTGCAGCTGGGGTCTGGCCGATCAGGACTGAGTGAGACAGGCTGGACGCGCACTGATGGGGGGGATGATCAGTTTTATAATGAATAACCCCAGGGGTGCACACCCGAAACTAACTTAACAGTGTATGTCAACTGTAATTGAAAAATAAAAAATGATTTAAAAAAAAGCGGAGGTGGGGCGGGGAGAGGGGGCTGGAGAACCTTCCACCTGGAGGCCTGAGATTCCTGCGGGGTCCCTTCTTAGGGTGAAGCAGGGAGGCGCTGTTTATGGAGAGAAAAGACTGGTCAGAGGCCTTTGGATTCGGGCAGTGAGGTCAGCCTGCTTGGCCACCCGGTAAAGCTGCTCCGAAAGTGCATTAAGGGCGCGCGAGGGGCAGCAGCTTTGCAACTGAGCCCAACTCAGATTCCACCGCCCCCTCTTGCAGCGGAGTCACTGGGAGAGCTCAGAGAGGTTGAGCAACCTGCCCAAGGTCACACAGCTTGCAGCTGATGGAGGAAGTGGCCGCTCCCCCGAGCCAGCAGCCCGGCCTTCCCAATAATGCCCCGTTAAAAGCACTGATGTGCCGAGAAACGCGACATGGCACCCCCAACCCTGGACACAGCCTGGGGCCCGCCCCCTGGGACAGCTGGACCGCCTCTAGGGGGTAGGGGAAGAACCAATTCCGGGAAGCAGCCGCGAAGGGGACCAAGCACTTCCGGTGCTCCGTTCCTGAGGGTCGTTCAGGGTTAGCGCACTCATAAATGACTGAAACGCAGAATACAGGGACTGAAACGCAGAATACAGGGCTCCGGAGGAGACAGTCTGGGCCCTTGCCCGGACTCGGGGTCCCTTAGGTCTAGCGGCCCAGTGCGCGCCGCCACGATGAGTCCAGCCATTTAAATAGAGTAGGCGGGGCCCAGCGGACCCTCGCGTCGGCGCGATGACGTCACGGATCCGCGCGGGTAGGCGGGCCTCCCTGGAAGGGCCCACGTCGAACGTGGTCTGGCTTTGTAGGCGGAGCCGTATTGAGTGATGGCCAGGCTCCGCCTTCCGGTTGAGGCAGGGAGGTGGGGCGTTCAATAGGGAAGTGTCTCCCGCCTGTATTGGTAGGGCGAGGCGGCATTGAGTGACGGCTCAGCCGTGCTTTCCAGTTAAGGCAGGGGGCGGGGCGCCGCTCAACGCGGAAGTGTCTCAGGCCTGCCTCCATAGGTTTGAGTGACGGCTCGGCCCCACCTCTCGGTTAAGGCGGGCGGTGGGGTGGAGGGGGCGTTCCACACGGAACAGAATGGGTCGGCGGAGCAGCATTGAGTGCCGGTTCAGCCCTGCCTTCCAGTTAAGGCGGGGACGGGGGGCGGGGGTAGAGAGGAGGTGTGGCCCGTTCAACACGGAAGATCCGCAGGCCTGTATGGGTAGGCAGAGCCGCATTGAGTGACGGCCTGGCCCCTCCTTCCGATTAAGGCGTGAGGTGGGGCGTTCAGCACGGAGGTGCCTCAATCCTGCATTGGAGGCGGAGCGGGATGAGGCAGAGCGGGG